AACATCTGCATCTTCTTTCTCTACATTTTTTTTGTGGTGATCATGAAGCTAAGTTTAAACTTTATCATATTTAATTCCTATTGTGTTTCGGTCAGTTTAACTCCTGCACGTGAGACACGTTTTACGATAGAGCTCTTATTCGATAGAGCTTTAGTATTAAGCTTATAGCTTATAGTTATAGTTATAGCTATAGTTATANCTGACTCGAGAAAACCGAAGCAAATACTAAATCGTGACTATGAAATCGCCATTAGACTTTTTTGTAAATGTATTATGAGAAAAATACGCGTGCTATCTTTGTGTACCTTTGCTACCAACGTATAATCTGAAGCAGCAACAGCTTAAGCACTTTATTTTTTTAATCACTGTAAATTTCTATTTGGGTAGACAGCGGCTTAGCTTCGGCATTGGCATTGCTGACGTCGATGAGCGACGGTAACCACTCACCATCAGTTGGGCCGTAAGCTCGTCTGCCTACAAAGGCAACAAAAAAACACAAGAAAATATTTCCACTGAGGACTTCACTCTAGGACCGCCATTATAAACATTACTGTTTAGAATATTTGGCTATTTCTTAAACTTGTAATTGGCAAGGTTTTAGTTTCAAGCAGCGTGTTAATTAGATCTTAATTCCTCTAAAATAAAAATAGAAACATCTCAATCAACCTATCCAACCCACGCAGTTGTCGAGATAGCTATATTAAAGTCTAGACTATAGCTAAAGACACTCATCGCGAATTGATTTATGTGACACTTGGATGTTGGCGTAACGGTATAGGTTCATTGGACGCCCAATACGGTGGACGCAATTGCTTAAGTTTGTCGCTCGTTAATTCTTTATTAACTTGGAGGTCCGGTGCTGCCGGTGCTACCGTCATGCGTCATCAATATTGTTAATTACAGAGAAAAATGTAACCAACGGGCAATCTCCATGGAACTTTGATTTGGCGCCATTAAAGCCAAATTACCGTGAGTGCTAAATTTTGACGGTGCTCAGCCGTTTTGTGTACCAAAGTTTTTATTTATTGCTTAGATGGGTAGACGAGCTCACAGCCCACCTGGTGTTAAGTGGTTACTGAAGCCCATAGACATCTACAACGTAAATGCGCCACCCACCTTGAGATATAAGTTCTAAGGTCTCAAGTATAGTTACAACTGCTGCCCCACCCTTCAAACCGAAACGCATTACTGCTTCACGGCAGAAATAGGCGGGGTTGTGGTACCTACCCGTGCGGACTCACAAGAGGTCTTACCACCAGTACAATGTAACCAACGGGCAATCTCCATGGAACTTTAATTTGGCGCCATTACAGCCAAATTACCGTGAGCGCTAAATTTTGTCGGAGCTCAGCCGTATTGGGTACCAAAGTTAAATACACAGGTAAAACAGTCAACGCCAAATATCCGGCGGTGGTTAATTAGCTAGAAGAACTAAATCTCTTCCAAAAGCACTGCCGTGGAAGGACGCGGGACTTCACCATGTGTATTTCCCCAAGAAAGCCTCAACAGGCCACGATCTTCAGTATTAAGAATTATTGACGTAAGGATGAGTCTAACAAACCTGAATTCTTAATGGTGCGATTTAGATCTTTGCCAAACTTTTTATAGGTCTATAGATACCGCCACAGTCTACATTGACGATGTTGTAGTTGTGTTTAAAAAAGAAAGGTTTGTTTGTACTACTTGATTATGTGTTCACATTTCGCAAGCTCGTGTGTGGATTTAAGGAATTGATTTTATTATTGGGTTTTCGGTAAAATACGATGAGAAGCATTTCCAGATCGGGTCATAGAGTTGAAGGACCTTTCCGCTTTAGACTTAGACATTTCTAATGGTAGGTCTATAATTTATGTATTTTGTTTAGGAAGGAAGGATTGCTTGTGTCCCAGAGACTTCCGGTTTGACCAGGATAGATTGGGCAAGCACGGACTCGGCCAGGAGGCATGAGATTTGATAACAGCGGCCCGAGCGCCTCCGATGAAGACCTAACAGCTAACAAGTTCTTTGCGAATGCATCTACTATCGGATCGGAATCGCGAATCGTTGAGGAAAACCGGCAAAAAACTTAGTGGGCTGATGTATGGGTGAGGGATCCGGGGTATTGCTGAACTGACAGAAACTCTGAATAACGAGACAGAACTGTCATACCGTTCCGTTACCGTCTAAGGATTTAGCTAACTGTTTTTCAAAGTAATTTGACTTAAGCTGATCAGCGAAATTCTCTTTTTAGTTCCTATGTCCTGCAGTGTCAGCTTGGTACCAGGCTAGCGAACGTACCTATATATAGACAAATAAAAATATCCGAGCTCGGTACAAAAGTTTTTTGAAAGCTTTCATTCCCTTTAAATAATCAACTTACAAAACAAAAATACACAATGGACAATAAGCTCGGGGCCGTGATATTAATCTCAGACAAAAGCTCCAATTATGAGACGACAGCTTTCAAGTTTCGCCGTGTTTTGTTCAACGAAATGAACTACACGTACAGTCTGCGATTGTAAGTTTTGTACTAAGGCTACAGAAAGAACAGACTTATGATTATATTTAGCTTAAAGCCACAGAGGTCGAAATTCCTTACAATCGGAATAGGTGCTTATGGAACATGAAGTATTATGAAGGGCACACATGCTCTTGATTATAGCGTGCATTGCTACAAATATTTAAAACTAGCTGACCCGGCAGACTTCGTAGTGCCTTAATCGATAAGTAAAAGACCTAAACTTTTGTATAAAATAAACTTAAAACAAACAAAAGGAATCCGTCCGACGGGGGACAGATCAAAGGAAAAACAAAATTGTTATTTTTATTAAATTCTGAGCATTTTCATATTTATCTACCTTTTAAACCTTCTCTGAACTTCCACAAAAAATTCAAGACCAATATTAGCCAAATCGGTGCAGCCGTTCTCGAGTTTTAGCGAGACTAACGAACAGCAGTTCATTTTTATATATATAGATAGCAGTTAGAGTTTAAAATTGATGAGTTAGGCAGAAAAACAGGTAAGGATGGTTTTGCTAACGACAGTACGCCATTGGCCATTTAAATTACCTATATTATTCAGCTTCGAAGTACGAAAACTAATAAGAAAATTAACTCTCGTCTATAACAAACATGAAACATCACGACCCAATTCTCGCCAATTATCCAGCAAATTCCTATTCGTCCATTGAAATTCTAAATGCCCGCATCACCTAGAATGCGATAGTCAGAATGTAAATTGTATAATCCGTGGGCGGAATGACAATTCGTAGGAAAACTATTAGTTGCAGCAAGAATAATATCGAGAGGCAAATTCTGTATTATGCGATGTGGCAATATTGCCAAGGGGTAGCAGGCATAATCATTGTTATCCAAGTGGTCTAGGGGAGGCATTAGGCCATCCACTGTTTTACCTTATCCTATTTTGTGGTACGTGTTTCGCTTCTGTTAATGAAAATAACCTATTTTCATTTATATTTTGCATTCAAATTTTTCTTAGGTCAGTCATCCTTGTCTTATGAAGCCCCTTATGTCCTTTTGAAGATAGCTTGGGTAGATCTAAAACAGTGGCGTTTTCGGCAGAGTTGAAATTTGGTTTTCGCGAATCGTCTTCTAGTCCGATTTGCCACCTAATATATAGACACAACCCACCGAGTTTCCCATCGGATCTCCTCAATGGGTCGCGATTCCGTTCCGGTGGTAGATTCAGCGAAGCACTGCTCTTGTTAGCGCTAGTTTTAGCACATTCTCTCAGGTTGAGCCTGTGAGCTTACTTAGTGGTCACAGCGTACCAGCGAATAGGTAGGGAAATAATCAATTAAATTAACCTCTTAGGCTACCAGAAAATAGGTAAGGAAAAAAAGTCAATTGAAGTTACCTCTTCATAGTTACTACAGTTTATTTTTCAAATATTTTCCGACCAGACTCTCAGTGTAGGAGACAGCAGTTCATGAAGGCTTCGATGATTTCATAAGTCTGCGTAATTAATTGTTGTAGAGCACAACGTTACGACTAGTTATAATAACTCATTTTCCCACGAAACAATGAGGTTATCCGATTAGAAGATTGCTGAACTACTATTATTCCAGATAGTTATTCCACACGAGATAGATCTTACGTGTCAAGGTGAGCTGTGTCAGCCATTTCAAGTTTATCGGTGAGCTATAGGGCGGTATTCACGTCTGGGGGTGTGAACGTGCGCTCTATACAGCAATGAAGACTCAATCTTGGTCAGTTTTCCGTAAACTTGCTTCTTCTATTTCCTCAGTCATCCCTATTACATTTGACTTTTCTTTGCGTATATTTAGTTTTAAAAGAATCTAGTTGTGGTCTACGAATCGGTCGTGAAGTCGTATTACGTTTTAAAAGGCCTGAATGAAGGCGATTTTGATTTTGTCCGTCTACATTGATAGCATAGCACGTTCGGAGTCTGGAATGTGCATTAGTATGACCACTGGACGACAAACGAATTATAATTCTCGAGCCCGACTTAAAAAGGGCCATCTCAATCTATTTACTAAGTGTGGCCCTCGGCCGATACGTTAGGGGGTTTTATCGTACGCAAAGGGCGAGGGTCGAAACAAAATCGCGGTGTGTTACCGTTATTTTAACCCACAAACGTGAACTTAAAGATACCTTTACGATAGACGTTTTTTTTTTTCATTCAAAATCATATCGCATTTACGAAGTTCGTTGCGGAGTTTTAAAAAACGAACGATTACTACGAACTGTTTAATGAGCCCTTAATACGAGATTAGGCTCATAAATCGACACCCAGACAACCTGTAGGCAAGACCGCGGCTGTATGCCCGATGTATTGATTTATTTTGGCGATTTCACAACAGTTCGCTTATCTCAAGAGAGCAGCCACCGTTCTATGATGTTTTATTATATGAATAAGCGGCACATACGTCTTTGTTGTTTTCACTCGGTCCATTTAGCTAACGAGAGTAGTGTGACCGAGCGTGCTGACCTTCACGGCGCGTCAAGACCCATATTCATAAGCGTTATGAGGTACTCACTCCTCGGAATGCTGCGAGATATTATCCTTGTCCTTGTGAGCCTGGCCCGAACTGCAAGAGTTCCCCATCTCGCCGCAGGCCCGCCCGCGCCCTTAACTGGTCATCACTCGCGAACGCGTGCCTTCGCGACGCTCACTAAACACAACAAATTATATAAAGACACACGCGCACACGTCCCGACCGACTATTATAGAATGATGTCTCGCAATAATTTAACATTTCCCGGCGTCGCGATCGTTTCGGGCGGCAAATCTAAATATAAAAAGAGCGCGTGCTACCGCGACAGATACTGTGAGCCGAATAATCGATGCGCCCTCGGTCCCTCCGCGCCCCCGNCGACGCTCACTAAACACAACAAATTATATAAAGACACACGCGCACACGTCCCGACCGACTATTATAGAATGATGTCTCGCAATAATTTAACATTTCCCGGCGTCGCGATCGTTTCGGGCGGCAAATCTAAATATAAAAAGAGCGCGTGCTACCGCGACAGATACTGTGAGCCGAATAATCGATGCGCCCTCGGTCCCTCCGCGCCCCCGTCCGCGCCCTCGGTCCTCATCGCGCGCGCGCTCATTATCTACGCTTTCCGCGACACATGCCACTGATACAGCGAGCTTTCCCGAACGGAGGTTGATATTATATCACTCGACACGAAACGAACTTCGTGAACGCTAAGAAAACTACAAAAATTGTCTCTAGCCGCCGACACTGGCAGCTGACACGCGATTTGAATTTCGAACGTCGAAAAACATTATCTTTCGTTTCTGTGAATGGCGACTCTTCTGTCAAAACAACAAGTGCTTTACTGTACTTGGTTTGGATTTGTGTATTTTCAAATAATTTTACGTTGTAAAATTAAGACAATATATTAAGTGTATAATCTATGATTAAGACAGAATTTTAGGACAATGCCACGGTGTTTTCTGAACTCAGTGAGACCATTGAGGGACAGTTTCACGGACGAATGCACTGAATTATCGAACGAACAATGTACGTTAGTAAATAAAGTTACATTATGTAAATAATATCATTATAGTAACTTTACTAAAATAACTATTCTCTCAATTTATTTTAACTTAGTTAGTTTATAGTTTTGTTGTATGATTTAGAGATTTAATATGTATGTATTGTAGCTATTTGATTGTAACCGGGCGTATGTAGATTTGTGATTCCGGCGCCATTTTACGATACTGTAGGTACTAGAAATCTCAAAAGCGAAAGATCAACTTTTGTTTTTTTAGTTGAGCCAACGATTAGATTGTAATTGTCCACACACATCAAGTACCGATCACGGAACAACAATTTTATAAATTCGCTCTAATATCCTGACTAATATCAAAAAGTTTTTTTATTTATTGCTTAGATGGACGAGCTTACAGCCCACCTGGTGTTAAGTAGTTACTGGAGCCCATAGACATCTACGACGTAAATGCGCCAACCACCTTGAGATTGAGATTGTTCTAAGGTTTCAAGTATAGATACACCCTTCAAGCCGAAACGCATTACTACTTCACGGCAGAAATAGGCAGGGCGGTGGTACCTACCCGCGCGGGCTCACAAGACGTCCTGCCACCAGTAAAAAAGTCGAAATCAATGGGTAGTTCGCTTCGCTATTTATGACTATTTTTTGTTAGGTTTTAAAACTAGCTGCGCCGGGAACAAAATATAAGTAGCCTAAGTTACTCATTATTAATATCGGTCCACTTTTCCCCCCTACCTATTCGCTGGTAGCCTAAGGGGCTATTCCACCTTCTCGCAGAGGGGTAGGTGAGCTCACGGGCTCAACCTAAGAGAATTTGCTAACACTAGCCCTAGCATAGCAGTGCTTGGCAGAATCTGGTGGTAGGACATCTTGTGAGTCCGCGCGGGTGGGTACCACCACCCTGCCTATTTCTGCCGTGAAGCAGTAATGCGTTTCGGTTTGAAGGGCGGGGCAGCCGTTGTACTGTTAAAAGTGAGATCTTAGAGCTCATGTCTCAAGGCGGGTGGCGCATTTACGTCGTTGATGTCTATGGGCTCCAGTATAACTTAACATCAGGTGGGTTGTGAGCTCGTCCACCCATCAAAGCAATAAAAAAAATAATCTACCACCGGATCGGAATCGCGACCCACTGAGATGATCCGGCGAGGAACTCAGTGGGCTTTGTCTATGGGTTAGAAGGTCCAACCGTTCCAGAGATTAGCCGGAACAAGCAGACAAACAAAAATTGTAAAAATAATTATTTTGGTATTTAAACCGTATATAATAAAAAGCCATTGTTTTACTATAACAAACAGACACTTCAATTTTATTTATTTGTATAGACATATTAGGTTTATAAGCCGGCTAGCTGGCTAGCGATCTGGCTATGGCTATGGGAAAGGTTCTACATGTCAGTTGCTGTTTTTTTTTTTAGAATAGTTTCATTCATTCACCATCAGGTGGGCCGTATGCTCGTCTGCCTACAAGGGCAAAAAAAAAAAGAGTGTACTGTGTCTCTGAAAGTAAGATTCTTCAATTTTAATGATATTTCGATCCAATGTCGCGAAGTGGGAGGCGGTATTCGCGTTAAGCGGTCTTTACTCAGAAATTGCTAGATGGATTCACTTCGATAAAGCGGCACGACACGAGAATCCTCTCATCGTGGCCGCCGGTAACTACATTCCCGATTCTGCGGAAAGAATGGAAAGCAGTCGACGTCGCCCAAAACACGTCATCTCGGATCCTCCCGATCCACTAACGGTGCTTCTACGTACTTCAAGCACCGGTCACCGTTCTCGTCGAACCCGTCGCTTGCGACGAAGGGCTCGACGAGTAAATCAACTCTCAGACACACCCCACTGAGTTTCTCGCCGGATCTTCTCAGTGGGTCGCGTTTCCGATCCGGTGGTAGATTCTGCGAAGCACAGCTCTTGCTAGGGTTCGTGTTAGCATCGTCGTCAGGTTTGAGCCCCGTGAGCTCACCTACTAGTTACGGTTACGCTGGAATAGCCTCTCTAGGCTACCAGCTTAGGTAGGAAAAAAAAAGCTAGATGGACCGCGTTGCTCACAGTTAAGTTTTAACTAAAAATATCCTCACGCATCAAAACTCCATTTGTCCTACATAAAAACAGCATATTTACAGCAACACCAAGAACTGTACCGAAAAATCTAAAACAGAAAACCATATTAAAACCTAGCGAAACGGTGTGCCACGATAAAGTACCGATACCGACCCGTTTCCACCTGCAACTCCTCAAGAAGAGCCAGTTCGTCGATAGCTTCATCGCGAACGAGAGCTATGAATACGCTCCTGACGTCGAGAAGGTGAAATCTCCGAAGAGAGGTCCAGTTAAAAAGAGATACAACTTGAGGTCTTCGGAGTCGACCAGGAAAAACTACGATATACGTGGAAAACGGAGAAAGAGAGGGAAGAAAACGCAGCCGGAACAAATTAAGCCGGATTTGGAGGTAGTCATGAATTAAATATTTTGGATATCATTGAGACTTTTTGGTGGGAACGCGAGGAGTGAAGTTGTGTGATTTGTTTTATTTTGTCTATTTAGTGTTTCTTCAGGTTTAAATGTGTAATAACGGTGGTTTATTAACTGTTTAATATCTGTGAAACAGCACAAATGTGAGAAAATGAAACAATGCCGCTGATCGTAACTTCTCGGGATCCTCCAAAAAGTCCACTGAAAAAATCTCAGTAAATGACCACCATCTTACTGAGAATACTTATGAGAATTTCATCCCATATCACCTCATCTCATTTCATTTAATTTCATTTCAGTTAATTAATGCCTCAAACTAATCATCTTCATTTCATTTCACTCTACATTATAATTTTTCATAAAAATAAGCATATAAATTAAAATAAGACATGACTTAAAGGTCTTAGTTACCAGGTCATGAAATCCTTTTAAAAAAAACATAGTTACCAGGACATAAAATCCTTTAAAAAAAATTGTATTCACACATTATAGCGACAACCAGATGTCCTCACCACCGAAGTCCTTTTGCCTGACCCCTCAAGAAAAACCAGCGGGTACCAGTCAAAGCCAAGACCTGGTGCGGAGATAGACAAGATAGCTGAAAAGCTGAAGAGCCTCCTCAAGAAATCTGTCGAAGAAAGGCTCGATCGAGAGCTCTTGACTTGTACCGAATCATTCGATGTCATTGACATCAGCGACGACGCCAAGGAGAATGGTAAGAACAAATAGTTTATCTACCGTCAGAATTAAACAATAAAAAACAGTAAATTGAAAAAAAAATCTGGTGTAGTGGTAAGTGACATGGTCACTACACAACGGGGTCGCGGGTTCGAATCCCGCCAAGGGAAGATATTTGTATGATAAATATAAATGTCTTTTCCAGGGTTATGGATGTATGTTAAATATATGTATGTCTATAATAAAAATATTACATTTATTTCCGTTATCTGGTACCTGTAACACAGCTTGTCACGGGACCAGTTAACGTGGCGTGATTGTTAGTAAAATATTTATTTATTAAAAAAAAACCCTTCAGAATTAAACAATAAAAAACAGTAAATTGAAAGAAAAAAAAAAAAAACAGTAGCTTGGTGAAAGAATCGTGTAATAATAGCCAACATGTCACCACACCTTTAAAATTTAGTTGGCCTAACTAAAAATTTAAAGACAATGAGTTTTATGCTTTGAACGACTTATAAATATATAGGTATTCTAACAGTTTATAAAATTAAATTTTTAAAATAAAAAATGGAATTTAATTTTTTTTTTATTACTGTGATGGGTGGACGAGCTCATAGCCCTGTTAAGTGGTCACTGGAGCCCATAGACATCTACAACGTGAAAGCGCCACCCACCTTGAGATATAAGTTCTAAGGACTCAAGTATAGTTACAACAGCTGCCCCACCCTTCAAACCGAATCGCATTACTGCTTCACGGCAGAAATAAGCAGGGCGGTGGTATCTGCCCGTGCGGACTCACAAGAGGTCCTACCACCAGTAATTTTAGTTAGAAAAGAAGAAAGTACACTTTCGGTCTCTTTTAAATCAAGCGCAGACATCAACTTTAAAGTGTGGGGCTTAAAGCTTAAAGTATTGGAATCAAAACTGAAGAATTACAATACTTCAATTACATTTTTGGCGTTAGCCAAAAAACAACATATTTGGATTAAATCACTTCAATATTAAATTTTTGGTAATTTTAAGTATGTTTCAATGATACTATGTACACATATGGACTTGTTGCTGTTGTCTGAAATAAAATAAATCATTCATCATTCATTCATTCATTCCTTCTTTCATTCATTCATTCATTCAAACGGCCGTCTGGTGTAGTGGTAAGTGACATGGTCACTACACAGGGGGGTCGCGGGTTCGAATCCCGCCAAGGGAAGATATTTGTATGATAAATATAAATGTCTTTTCCAGGGTTATGGATGTCTATTAAATATAATATGTATGTGTATAATAAAAATCTTACATTTATATCCGTTATCTGGTACCTGTAACACAAGTTCTTTACGAGCTTATCACGGGACCAGTTAACGTGGCGTGATTGTTAGTAAATATTTATTTATTTATTTATTCATTCATAAACATGTGAATTGTATTATCTGGACCTTCAGTTCAGGTTTGCTTCGAGACAGTAATGAGTGAAGAGACTCCGCTCGCTCATGCGCCAGTATTTAATTTCTCTCTTAGATCCAGTACATCCGGAGGGGCGCCGTCAACGCGTCATGCACAAATGCAAGTACTGCGGGAAAGGCTTCGACAGACCCTGGGTGCTGAAGGGTCACCTGCGTCTCCACACCGGGGAGAGACCCTTCCCGTGCCCCCATCCGCTCTGCGGCCGGAGTTTTGCTGATCGGTAAAACGGATATGCAGTTTCTTTTCGGATAGGATTCTTTGCGGTAGGCAGCGGCTTGGCTCTGCCCCTGGCATTGCTGAAGTCCATGGGCGACGGTAACCACTCGCCATCAGGTGGGCCGTATGCTCGTCTGCCTGCAAGGGCAATAAAAAAAAAGTATATATATATCGCTAACACATACATATTGATAGATAATATGGGAACATATTATGTTTGCATATAGTCCCTATATATTCGCCATGAGGACGCCTCTTATAAGAGGCGTTCTCGACAGGACTCTCAACCTTGGCCTGGCATCAATAAGTGAAATAATGATATTTCATTATTGCATTTTGGAAAGCGCGCAATGGAACACAATTTAATAGTTTCGACGGCCCGGGTTCAACGACCACACGAGTCGTCTGCTTTTACATTACACTGCAGCGGATTTACGAATTTTCAATTTTAAAAGATTTCTATTTTTTATCTTATACTAGCGACCCGCCCTCGCTTCGCTTCGGAAACTGTAATTTATTATTGATTTCTCCACTATTTAATGGATGTTATTATACATATAAACCTGCCTCTTCAATCACTCTATCTATTAAAAAAAACCGCATCAAAATCCGTTGCGTGGTTTTAAAGATTTAAGCATACACAGGGATATAGGGACAGAGAAAGCGACTTTGTTTTATACTATGTAGTGATATAAATTATTAAATAATTCTATTTATGCTTAGCTCAATAAGTTATTGTTCGATACAATTAGATTCTTTGAATAATTTTATCGTTTCCAGAATTTTCCAGTAACACATTGTATCGTATTTATTCGATTAGGCATACAGACAATGTACATATCGAGGGGTTGGAACTTTTTAAATTTTTTCCTACCTATGCTGATAGCCTTGAGAGGCTATTTCAGCTTCACCCTAACGTATGTAGGTGAGCTCACGGGGCTCGAAGCGGAGTGTTGCTAACACTGACCCTAGCCAGGGCAGTGCTTCGCAGAATCTACCACCGGATCTGAAACGCGACCCACTGAGAAGATCCGACGAGAAACTCAGTGGGCTGTGTCTATGGGTTAATTCGCTCGTCGAGCCCTTCGTCGCAAGCAACGGGTTCGACGAGGACAGTAACCGGTGCTTGTGGTGCCTAAAAGCACCGTTAATGGATTGGGGGCGCTGTTCCAACTCTATACACATTTGAGTTAACTTTTACGTTATCGAGAACGTTAAAAAACTCGCACTAAGCACACAGACCCTTACTTCGAAGTTCCATTCATTCCGAAAAGCTTTTGTGAGCGTTTTTGAAAACTTAAACGAATAAAATAAATTTTAATAAATTTGAATTAAAAATATGTAAGAAAGTGATTTTATTGTAAAAAAGCGTGGGGTGCTTTTCAGGATATTATCAAAATACTTTACGAAATACAAATACAAAATACGTTTTGTTACACTATTTTTAATTCAAATTGATTAAAATTGATTTTCTATTTTTTAGTTGGATTTTCTATAAAAGCGTACTTTGTTAGTTTTTTTAAACTATTATTTATTTTTCATTTTTTAGATGACTAAATTTTTTCATTTTTTTTTAAATAATATTGAATTGTCATCGGTCCTTAATAAATATACCAAATTTCGAGTTAGTCCGACGTTTTGAAGGGGGTCAAAATCATGTTCAAAGATTCCGTTACATACATACGTCTGAAGCTTATAAAAGCGTATTAAAAAGGGCTCTACTATCATAAGTCTTTATATCAGTTGTGGTAAAAATAAACTGGTTTGATCTGTTTCGTCGGTTCTTTTCTAGCCCGCGGCTCTGGGGCTAGGGTATGAGAGAAGGAGAAGGAGAACATCTTCAGTTTATTATACTTAAGTGTCCGCTGAAAGAGAGCTAATTAAGATGGCGCCACAGTAGCAAGTGGAAAGATAAAAAAAAACGGCGCCTTAAACGATTAGATCAGGATTTTTGTTAGATGTTTTTTCTAATTGTCTCACAACTTACAGGAAAAATCTGTCGCGGATCATTTCTCAATTAAATATAAATTAATCTTAAGCAATCAATAAAATGTAATCAAATCTTATTTACATAATTTTTTTTATTGGAACGAAGTTCCTTTGGCGCGTTGTGAAAGGGGGCTAGACGGAAAAAATTCTTACGAAAAGTTGTCACGACACTTTAGATCCGTCATTCTGACCAATCAACGTGTAGGCGCTTATCGCGTGACATTGCTCGTATCCGATTGGTCCGCGTAATGAGTCCAGTTTTTATTTTTTTATTTTTTTTATTGCCCATGTAGGCAGACGAGCATACGGCCCACCTGATGGTGAGTGGTTACCGTCGCTCATGGACATTCTCGAGATAGCGTTTCAACAATAGTAATTTAGTTCATAGTATTGTTTTTTTCTTCTTCATAATGCCGTAATTTATTATTATAACTTAAAAAAAAAATTACAATTCCTTCACTAATTAATCGAAAGGAACTTCGTTCCATTCGGGTGTTCCTTGACACCTCTGAAGTTTTTTTTTGTTGTTAATGCACTGTCGATTGCACCTAATGACCTGTCTGAAGCTAATAAAAGCGTATTAACAAGTTTTAATTCGACATCCATTGCGTAGTTCGAACCTCCGCGCCCACCAGCGCACCCGCGGTCACCACTCGTGGCAGTGGCGCTGTTCGGAGTGTGGGAAAGCTTTCAGCCAGAGCCGCTACCTCGAGCGCCACCGAGAGGACGCTTGCCAAAAATATAAGTACGTTGCGTTCGATGTTAAGTTCTAATAGGTTGTTCGGAAAGTCATTTCGTTTTTTTCGCGACAGAGGATTTAATTGTATTTTTTTTTCACCCAACTTCACATTTAATTTTTATATGCTTTAAGAGCTCATATAGCAAGGCTTGTGTGTGAAAAATTCCAATTCTACGCAGTAGTTTTTGGTTGGTACCCTTTTAAATATGGAGAGCAATATCTTTTTTTTTATTGCTTAGATGGGTGGACGAGCTCACAGCCCACCTGGTGTTAAGTGGTTACTGAAGCCCATGGACATCTACAACGTAAATGCGCCACCCACCTTGAGATATAAGTTCTAAGATCTCAGTATAGTTACAACGGCTGCCCCGCCCTTCAAACCGAAACGCATTACTGCTTCACGGCAGAAATAGGCAGGGCGGTAATACCTACCCGCGCGGACTCACAAGAGGTCCTACCACCAGTATAAATAAGCAGCATTTTCGACATATTTTCCTGTTTTTTCTACAGAAAGGGTAAAATTCTGCTCAAGCCAGAAAGAAATTGACCGATGTGTATGTAGAAGGTGTGTTGACAGTACGCCAGTGCCAGAACTGGTTCGCTAAATTTCGACCTGGCAATTTTGATGTCGAAGATGCACCACGTTTGGGAAGGCCGGTCGAAGCTGATAAAGACGCGATAAAGGCATTAATTAGTTGCTGCGAACCAGCGAATAACAACACGTGAGATCAGATTGAGGTTAAATTTATCAAATTCAACAGCTTATGACCACTTGAAAGGCCTGCGATTATCCTTGAAGCTCGATGTATGGGTTCATATCCACAAAAAAAAAAAAAAACGAAATTCTTTCCGAACAATCCAATAGTATTATTGTGTTGGGCAGTGATTCCCAACCTTTTTTATCGCGGCACGTTTAAGGATAATAAAATTTGAGAATGCACCCTGAAAATGATGAGTTTAAAGTTGTTTCTTCTTATTGTTAAGTTTCCTCACTTCGGCTTTAGCCGCTTGGTGAAGTGCGATTAGATATCTGTCTAACGTGTCTTACTCAACCTTTTCTCTTCCAATTCGCTGTCACCACCAGTCATTCCATATCAGAATGTCTTCTGACCATATTCAAAAGTTGATCACTCAGCCATGAAGGTTGATACGAGTTATAGTAATCCATGGATTCAGCGGGTTAGCTTAATTTAAAATAATTTTGAAGCAATCTTCGAACAACAGTTGTATTGTTGATCGAAGGAAGCAATCTATTCTTTTCTAAGTGGTTATTCGAATAAACATTCTAGTATTAAATAGTTATAACGATGTCAAAGAAAAACAATAAAAAATAATTCATATTTTAATATTTTTTATTTCTTTTCTAAATCAGGCAACACTCAAGAAATACAGTAAAAGACAGCATCGATCAAAACTCATTCCAGATTCCTGTGCCTCTGTTTGGAATTATTCGTCCCAGTATATCGAATGTATTGCTTTCGACCAAAGTCGATTTGGCGGACGACGAACCGATTGATCTGTCTTGCAAGAGAAACGAAACAATCTGGGACTAATTAATAACTTATGCTATCCATTTTTTTCTTGTATCGAATGTTTAAACTTTAGCATGACATAATTGAATATAAAGTGTATTATTTTAAAAAGTAAAAATATATTTTATTCAATTTTCTGTGGGAACCTTTTGGCGGGAACGCGAGCTGTCAAGTTATGTGAATTATTAAATTTTTTTGTTAATTTAGTAACTCTTATGGTTTTAACGTGATACAACGGTGGTTTATTAACCTTTTAGCATCTTTGCACTAATGTGGAAAAATGTAAAGAAAGTGGCTGGATGTGGCTTTTTACTGAAATCATTTCATTTTACTGAAACATTATTTTATTTCATCTCACCGTATTTCGTTCAAAATAATTTTAATCAATTTCATTCCAATTGATTACGATGTTATTAGAAATAGCTATTGATTTAATTTTTCAAATTGCAAAGTAGGTATGAATGCTTTAATAATTGAGGATTTCATAAAGCCGAGGCTGGCAACAACGCCATGGCAAAAAGCCGATTTCCGTACTCAAATAATAGAAAAAGAAACTTTTCTAGTCTTGGAATTTCCTAGACTACTACAAGTTACATTTCATGAGATTAACTGAGAGGTAAAATGTATAATATATTTATTTTCGAAAATATATTTTAGGTTATAAAATGCTATTCACTAATTCCAAAGAAGACAAATAAAGTTATTAACGCAGATCTTTTCAGTTTATTTTTTAAGTTAACTTGAGTATTCTTTATCGCAAAGCTCTTAAGTGTGTTTATGAAAGGCGAGTTGGATACCAGTCCCTGCCTATTTCTGCCACAAGATAAACGTTATATACAAAAACAGTAGACTAGAATTAGGCGTTGAGGTCAATAATGTAAGCAGACGAGCATGCGATCCACCTGATAGTCAGTGGTCACCGTCGCTCATAGACGTAAGCAATGCCAGGGGCAAAGCCAAGCTGCTGCCTACAATTAAGTACTGTCCACAAGCCTCGTTTGAAGAAGGACATGTCATAGCGCTCGGGAAACACCGTGGAGGGGAGCTCACTCCAAAGCCGGATGGTACGTGTCAAAAAAGATCTTTGGAAACGCACTGTCGATGAACGCAGTGGTTCCAGACAATATGGATGAGCTTTGCTCCGATGGCGGGAGGTGCGATGATAAAAAGGAGATGAGGGGATCATCTCGAATAGTTCCTCAGAGCATTCTCCATAGAACATACGGTACAAAATACAGAGACAACCGAAGTCCCTCCGTAGACCCAGAGGTTCCAAGCGATCCGTGAGAGCGGGACTATCGACGATCCGAACAGCCCGTTTCTGTATGGAGTCAAATGGAAGCAGCTGGTATTTGGAAGCCCCGGCCGAGAGATGGGAGCAGTACTACACCAGAGGCCGAGCTTGTGCTTTATAAATCGCACGTCTCTGTCCAGTCTTGAAATACAGCTTCGCTCTGTTGAGGACTTTTGAAGTCGTCGTGGCCTAAAGGATAAGACGTCCGGTGCATTCGTATCTAGCGATGCACCGGTGTTCGAATCCCGCAGGCGGGTACCAATTTTTCTAATTATATACGTACTCAAGAAGTGTCCACGATTACTTCCACGGTGAAGGAATAACATCGCGTAATAAAAATCAAACCCGCAAAATTATAATTTGCGTTATCACTGGTGGTAGGATCTCTTGTGAGTCCGTACCATCACCCTGCCTATTTCTGCCGTGAAGCAGTAATGCGTTTCGGTTTGAAGGGTGGGACAGCCGTTGTAACTATAGTTGCGACCTTAGAACTTATATATCAAGGTGGGTGGCGCATTTACGTTGTAGATGTCTATGGGCTCCACTAACCACTTAACACCAGGTGGGCTGTGAGCTCGTCCATCCAAGCAATAAAAAATAAAAATTCGTCTTCCTAGTGCGCAGGGAGTCTTAGGGGCTATTCCAGTTACGCCCAGGCGGGGGTGTAACTAACTTTGACAGTGTTTCCATATGGAAGACCACGTTAACTCTGGTCTTTGGGTGTCGGGAATTGCTTAATCTACCCTTCTATTTTTTTAAATAAGTTTGTCTGCCAGTTACCTAGTGAGGGAGTTCATATCGAGTCCCTTCTTTATTTCGCCTGGTCGTGTTTTATGTAATAAACACCACAGTTGGAACAATATAAATTTTATTGTTGTAGCGGCATAAAGTAATTACATTAAATTAGTTATTTAACACATTATAAATTATTTTTATGTTTTTCATATTTGGCGGTAAAAAGGTCTTGTGTCACAGACTATATCCTTTTTCGTACCTCTCGTGCGTTCCGACTTACGCATCATAAAAATGTGCGTTCTTAAACGCCACACCACCCCCCTACGGAGAAGGAGAATCCGCAGAAAAAGAGAAAAATGATCATAGGTCGAAAGGTTTGGAGAAATGGACTCTGCGACCTGACCGGGTGGTATATTGAGATGTATGCGTAGGAGTAGCAGTTAGAGGTGCCGAAGGCACGAGTGGACATGAAGGGACATTAGTAGCATCCGGTTGCGCTGGTTGAGGCACAGAAACCCGCGGTGCTGGTGCTGGAACGAGATCTACTAAAGAATTTTCGACGAAAGCTGGCTTAATTCTGTCGACACTGACCGTCACCTGTTTCCCTTTTACATCAATCGACCACGTTTTTCCGTCCTCGGCTCTAGATATAACTCTATGAGGACCAGAGTAAGGTGGTTGCATTGAACGTCTAACCGAATCCTCCCTGAGCATGACATGAGAGGCGGTGGAAAGATTTTTAAATATGAAAGGTGNATAAACCACCCAAGAGTACACAATCTGCTCGTCACACGAACGTCTGTCCTATGCGAGAATCGAACCCACAGTCCTTAAGTCAGCAGTTAAGGGCAAGTCCCGAGAGCAGTCAGATCAAAATGGACATTTTTTTTTCTTTTTATTATTGGTATTAAGTGGTTACTGGAGCCCATAGACATCTACAACATAAATGCGCCACTCACCTTGAGATATAAGTTCTAAGGTCTCAGTATAGTTACAACTGCTACCCCACCCTTCAAACCGAAACGATTTTTATTGCACGATGTTATTCCTTCACCGTGGAAGTCAATCGTGAACATTTGTTAAGTACGTATTTCATTAGAAAAATTGGTACCCACCTGCGGGATTCGAACACCGGTGCATCGCTCAACACGAATGCACCGGACGTCTTATCCTTTAGGCCACGACGACTTACACATACATACATATTGATTAGGTTGGATTTTACTGATAGGATGTTTTTTGTTATTGTAACTAGCAGTTTATGGACCAGAGGGCGACACAAGAAAGTCTTTATACCGGAAAAATGCAATGTATCCCATTCTCTTTGAATATGCCAAAATAAAAATGCCAATTTTCCATAATTATATTTATTACAATAAATAATGAAATACAATTTGTACATCTTAAGTAAAATGCTACATTCATTAAATCTAAGCGGACAGTCCAGGGTTGCCAACGGTATTAATATTTATTTCTCTATATTGTTCTTCGGACCGGCATGCGATTTATTGTCGAAACATTACACATAAGAATAACATATTTCATTTGAACAGTACGATTAACATCGACTGCACGCACGAAAAAGTGTCACGTTACGCCTGAGCCTAAACGTGCAAGCAATTATTATTTAATTAAGTTCTTTTTTGTGTTTATATAATTTTTTTGTCAATCTTTCTTTATGACGTAATCACGTAAAACTACCGTCCGTAAACCGATTTTACAGACAACCATGTACGTTGAATAAATTGACGCTCTTCACTATTACTTTCTACACTAAAAAAACAACCATTTGTAGATCGTAGTAGATCGCGACCAAAAAAAAAACCAGAACCATTTAAAAAATCATTGGCAACCCTAGCGTGCGTGTCTATAAAATTATTGTGCGTACATTACGTCGTCACACAGAAAAGGCATTTAAGAAAAACGTATCTTTGTCGTCAAAAGTGACAGACATCCTTATTGACCGCAACGTATTTTTAATACATTAAACAAGCTAAATAATTAACATTTAGAAATTAAAACAAAAAAAAAAAACTATGAATATCAGATTTATTTTTATGATTATAATTTAACAAACTTCGACTTTGCATTCCGTTGATGGCTTAATGGGATTCGATTGGTTCGCACTGCGCTATATTGATATTGATATTTATATTGAATTATATTTATATTGATATCTATTTAGTTTAGATAGTCCGCACGGGTAGGTACCACCACCCCGCCTATTTCCGCCGTGAAGCAGTAATGCGTTTCGGTTCGAAGGGTGGGGTAGCCGTTGTAACTATACTGCGACCTTAGAACTTATATCTCGTGGTGGGTGGCGCATTTACGTTGTAGATGTCTATGGGCTCCAGTAACCACTTAACACCAGGTGGGCTGTGAGCTCGTCCACCCATCTAAGCAATAAAAAAAAAAATTATATATTTTTTTGTAGTACTGTTAAAATTTAAATTTAGCCTATTTTTCTGCTGTTTGTAAAATTGCTGTAACATGTCATAGTGTGTTACAAGAGATTGTTGTACATGCCTGTAACTGGCTTACATACCAGTACTTAATTTTATACATGTTAATTTTAAACTTGAATGTTTTGTGTGTATTGCTGTTGGTGTGTCTAAATAAATAAATAAATAAATATTGAATTTTCTAGATGAAGTTTTTGATCAATATCAATATAGTCACCAAACGAGCTTCTAAAAAAAGTTGCATTAAGATAATTCGCGAGTCGCGTGAAAAAGCTTTATTTAGTTCTAGCGACAACTTTACAGATATTGCGGTCAACAACCCAGCTGTTGTGGTTCGTTAAAACCAAGAACTCACAGGTCCCGGGACCACACGTAAACACGGTAATCACGGCACCATATTTTTTTGTCATCGATATATCGATCCTAAAATACATTAAGGACGTAACTAAATAAAAATAAATATTCATTAAGTTTATATTTTAAGCCTTTGGCGATTCATTAAGTAAAATTGCACAAGCACAACACATAAACATTGAAATATTGCATTAAAGCAATCAATTCGTAATATTTCAGTTAAGTTTGCCATCGATACATGAGTCGTCTATTATCAAAGGTGGCAATCTGTGCATTTGGACAAAAAAAAATTATTGATATGTCAAGTCAGATTGATTTGAATATAATCGTCTCCTTCAAAGAATACGGTTCAAAACCTGCATTAAATAAAGGTTAATAGTTAACCTGTTATTTATCTAAGATGTCGTTCCGAAGAGTTTTGTGACTGCCAATGGAATACAAAGTCAATAATTCGTTTTTCTGATTTACCAATCATTGTCCAAAAGTCAGATTGCCGGCTTTGATAATAGACGACTCATTTGTATGAAGTCGGAACAGCGCCTCTAGCGGCAAACTTAGGCAAACGCTACGTTACCTGCTTTAACTTTTACGCTGTCGAGAGCGTTATAAAACTCGCATTAAGCATTCAGGTCTATGCATGTCTCCAGCGACCTTGACGTAAAAGGATATCCTAGGTAGGGGCTTAATCTGGAACTGGTCCAAATTAAATAATTTTTAATTAATTATTCTCTATTGCACACACGTTTTAAATATATTATTTGAGTCGTCTATTATCAAAGGCGGCAATCTGTACATTTGGACAAAAAAATTTTATTGATATGTCAATACAGATTGATTTGAATATAATCGTCTCCTTCAAAGAATACGGTTCAAAACCTGCATTAAATAAAGGTTAATAGTTAACCTGTTATTTATCTAAGATGTCGTTCCGAAGAGTTTTGTGACTGCCAATGGAATACAAAGTCAATAATTCGTTTTTCTGATTTACCAATCATTGTCCAAAAGTCAGATTGCCGGCTTTGATAATAGTCGACTCACATATCTTTCGGCGATTTACATCAAAGGTATTACGAAAGAAAAAAAAAGTTACAAATTCGCGCCCAAGTACATAGCTTTATTTACATATATATGGGGAAGCATCGTCGAAATTTCATGTCCGTGATACCTGTTGCGATAAAAGAAGATGACATAAAGCATTACCAATGCTTCTAGTGTCGCACGCAATGTATTCAATACAAAACCAGCTGATGCGAGGTCAACGGCCTGAGCCGATACACTGAACGCTTACGAACCATACCGTAAAACTTTTATCAAAGCAATTTATGTTCGGAATTTCGTGCCTAAAGACGGTATCAGGTTTTTTAACACGTTGACTTGTGTGTAGGTCACCGGTGTCCTACGCGGCGCACTGAAGTATTTATGTCGATTTTTATTACTAAACCGCATGGATTGCCTAACTTTGCCTTCTTTTGTTCGTAAATTTAGTCTATTAGGTCTCTTAGAAATAGATTCATTCTCAGTATCTTCGGATTCGTCTTTCCAAGAGCCTACTAGATATTCCGACGCGACCAGTTCTTCAATATTGAACTCTACTGTTACGGGTCACGGTTTATTTTACGAAGCGATTTCATTAATAAAACTTTTTATAATAATAATATAGTTGGATCTAGACAAGATCTTACCAACATTTCGTTACTTTCTGGTAAATGCGATTTAAAGTTTAGGAGTGAATAAAAATTTTTTTGGAATAATTCTCCGTCATACACATGCGACATATTATTTATATATGTCGGCGCAACATTAACTATTTAGTTAGTTTTTTATTTTATTTTATTTTTATTGCTTAGATGGAAGGACGAACTGACAGCCCACCTGGTGTTAAGTTGTTACTGGAACCCATAGACATCTATAACGTAAATGCGCCACCCACCTTGAGATATATGTTCTAAGGTCTCAAGTATAGTTACAACGGCTGCCCCACCCTTCAAACCGAAACGCATTACTGCTTCACGGCAGAAATAGGCAGGGCGGTTTAATAGTTAACTAAGATTAGTTAAACTTAACTGTTTCCTTAATGTTGATATTGTTGATTAACTATTAAAAGTCCAACGCCTGAAAGCAATTGTATAAAACGATATTCAAGACAATTCATGACTACGCCACCGTACTTTTACGACGTTGCTGACGTCATCAGTCACTGACGTCACCGTCGCCCCGTCATATCGTCGCTGTCAAACCAAAATCTGCTATTTGCAAAAACTCTATGCTGAATTAACGAGTAAGAATCTTTTCGTATAAAATTTTATATGAAGGTGAATTTTTAAGAATTATTTCAAATGAAAGCTATAGATAAATATTAAAGCTATTGACAGACACATAACAGTTTTTTATACGGTAGATAGGGCTGTGAACTATACGAAAAGGTCAAAAAGTAGAAATCTCAAAAATGCACATAGCAGATTTTGGTTTGACAACGACGATATATATAAATATATATAAGCTATTTTCATCATTGGCACCTTGTTGTACAGCCATTGTATATATTAAGACTAGTTCGACATTGACACAAACAAACCACGTGATTATTATACGAAACGACACGTCCCGGGAAAATCGTGAGAGTTTAATAAAAATTAATTTAAAATACACACAATTTGCATGAAAAATATATATCTAAAAAAAAATGTTCCTTGACATTGTTTGTTCGTTTGAAATCGCTATTATCGAATCATCATATCGAAAGGATTGAAACGCTATTTTTTTTAAGCGACATTTATCTTTGTAATTAAAGGTCCATTTTATTCGGTATTAGTATCAACAGATCGACGTTTATAATTGAACTTCAGTTAAGTTTACCTTATTCAAATAACTAAAGCTTTTTTTTTGTTTTAAGATTTTTTTCCAAACTTTAAATGGCTCTCTTGTAAAGTTGCATAAATATCACTTAAATCAAATAGTCTGTCACTCCTTGATATAAGAGACCCCAAACTTTCAATACGATTTCGAACCGTTCACCTATTGATATAAAGTTGATTTTAGAATATACAATTACAGAGCACATTGTGGTAATTAAATGAATACTAACACAACTATGCACGTTCAATTATAGTCTCTGCTTCGCATCGACATAAGTTTCAATTTGGCATACACATTTACACTGGAATTATTATCAAAGCAATATAGGTGAAAAGTCTCAACACAATTACAATCGTACCTATAGTGATTTAAGGCATATTTTAGCGTGTCTATAAGGGTGGAGGTTCGCGGATACCCTCGCTGTGCCGTGTTCTACCTGCCAACTCTAAGATGGCTTTGGCTTCTGGATTGGTGTCCAACACGCTGACTTCCCGTTCATCCTAGAATTAAATATTAAAAAAATTTATTACTTACTACCCTCATTTACTTACTTATCCTCTCTCATTTGATACAATCTTAATAATAATATCGATAATCTTACAAAGTAAAAGCTTTTCATTCGCGGTGTATATTTTCCGTAAATATGCCGCGAATACAGAAACCGCGATTATGAAATTGTAATTTACATGTATGGGACTATAGGGATATGTGTCTAGGCATAGTTGTAATATGCTCTGAGGAATTGTTCGAGATGATACCGACATCTCGCTTTTACCATCGCACCGCCCGCCACCGGAGTAGAGTTCATCCATACTACCTGGAGCCACTGCGGTCATCCACAGTGCGCTTCCAGAGATATTTTTTGCCAAGTACCATCCGGCTATGGAATGAGCTCCCCTCCACGGTGTTTCCCGAGCGCTATGACATGTCCTTCTTTAAACGAGGCTTGTGGAGAGTATTCAACGGTAGGCAGCGGCTTGGCTCTGCCCCTGGCATTGCTGACGTCCATGAGCGACGGTAACCACTCACCATCAGGTGGGCCGTAAGCTCGTCTGCTTATACGGCAATAAAAAAAAGTATATTTTCATTTTTTTATTAGTCCGTTTGTTGAGACGTTTATAAAGGATATTCGGTTGGACACGTAAATATTGGAATCCTTTTTATCAATGTGTATTTAACGCGAATGATGGAAGTGCGAATAAGGAGCTTTTACTCTAATACATTACTTGATCAACACAACTGCTACCTCAAATATATAAATACTCGTATGCAAACTCAAGAAGAGAGACCGCCCCAGAACAACTTGGCGTCGCTCGGTGGAGCAGGAGCTAGGGGTCTTGGGCATGACGTGGGAGGAGCTAGAACAGACTGCCCAAGACCGATATAAATGAAAAAAATTTGATTCCAGCCCTACACCCCAGCAGAGGGTAATAGGAAAGCATGATGATGATGATGATGCAAATTGAAGTAACGATCTACAAAATTCTTTTAAGCAACATCGTGATCCACACGACGATTAGGTAGGTAATGGCGTGTACCACAGAGCACCGATTCAACTCTGTGTTTTGGTGCGGGCTGTAATGGGCCGGTTGCCGTGATAAAGAAAACTTATGCTTTGTGTTGCAATACGGTTTATTTGTATAATAAACAGGATGTGCTTGCGGTGAAAAGTAAAAAAGGAAAAGATCGACATCAACAATGTTGCCAGTCATGTAATTTTATTTTCCATGCTAAAATGTTGGAGTTGCCAACGCTCCGGTCGGAGCCAAGGATTCTGTTAAATATGGAAAACATTTGGGATCTGAATGGGCTCGTCCTTTTGGTGTAAGCCAGAATAGTTCTTCGAAACCACTTCCCCCCCCCCCAGCTATTTGCTGGTAGCCTAAGAAGCTATCCCGGCTATCCCAGATAGGTGGATGAATTCACAGAGCTCAATCTGAGAGAATTCCTAAAACCAGCCCTAGCAAGAGCAGTGCTTTGCTGAATCTACCACCAGATCGGACACGCGAACCACTGAGAAGATCCGTCGATGAACTCAATGGGTTGAGTCTGTGGGTTGAGTTGCACGAGAACGGTGACCGGTTCTTCGGATGCTTTAAAGCACCGAGATTGATTCCGAAAGCACGTCAATTAGCGATGCTATAAAAAAATGAAAGATGTGGTGTCGTGGGACACCAGGTAGGAACGAAGTTCCTTCGGCTAATGTAGAATCGACACAATTTGCAAAAAAATAATCGTGCTCAATTTTATGTAGGTTTTCTTGATTTTTCTCTTAAATTTTGCTGATTAGTTTTTATTTAAGTATAGGAAAGTATTTAGGAAATTCAGTATTTTAGGAAATAATAAATTACGTAAAATAGAAAGAGAATGGATGAGAGAACGAAAAGAAAGAGGGAGAAAGAGAAAGGTATTATACACTACTCGCTTGTGTNAAAGAGGGAGAAAGAGAAAGGTATTATACACTACTCGCTTGTGTATGCGACTGTCGCGCCTGCGCACGTCTCATTTAACGGTTTTATTCCACGCACTTTTTTCCACGGATTTTTTCTTACGGTTTTACTATCACATTTTTTTCAGTTCGGTCGCGCAGCAAAATCCCTATCCCCTCCAAGCCTGCCGTAAGGAACTTCGTTCCAATAACTGTTCGATTTTGGGGTTTACATTTTGAAATCTCCCGCCAACTTGCCCGGTACCCGCGCAATCTACTGAGCGCGACACTAGCGCTACGTGTTGCCGCAGTTTGTCCAACATTTGAAGAAAAAGAGTCGTGAAATCTTGGAGCAGTTGGCGGTAAGTCCGTAATTCTTTAAATCATAAAAATTCAATAAAACTGAGCTATCGACCAATAACATTAAAATAACAATTAATTCACATTGTAGCTACGTTAGCTAAATATTAATAAACTCAACTATTTATGATACATATGTTTATTACACCATACGAAATATACTGTGAGTACTTGAAGGTTTCACTTGATGAAGGTACCAGACTATGAAAATTTAACGACGCCAGCGCCAGCGAGTACCTACATATATATTAAAAGTTTCTTAACGAAATACAGTTCCCGATATCAGAGCGGAAAGGTTGTAACTAGTTTTTCAAAGACAAATAAAAAAATCTTGAGTTTTTGCCTGCGTGCGTGCGTGTGCGTGCGTGCGTGCGTGCGTGTGTGTGTTCATGTGTGTTTTCAAAATGGAAACTTGTTTAGCCCCTAATTGAAATCCAATAAAAACGGAAATCGAAAGCGAAAAACGATAATAAAAATATAAATTTAAGACAAACATGTAGTAACATGACGAGAGATAATACAAAAATGAAATAAAAGCATAAATCAATTTAGTTCAGATTTTCCTTAAGCCAACCATATCTTAATAACGGGACTATAAAGTCGAATTTACATTACGAAATTAGTGGCATGAAACTAATTTCGTGACATTAGTTTTACCAACAGTTTCACGTGTAATTTAATACTTTCGTAATGCATGCATTAATTTCATGCATGCAAATTAGTTTCGTGCCCTGCGCGATTTTTTGGTAAAATTAGTGTCATGCAACTAATTTCATAGTGTAGACGCGACGTGAAACTAATGTCGCGAAAGGCCTACGCTGTGCGGACGTGTGTATTGTTAGTTCGGACGCGCTTCAAGCGTTGAAAATGGCAAACCAACGATGGAGTACAGAAAAATAAAATAGATCTTATTAATGAATATCAGCGACAAGGGTGTCTATGCGACCCGAAACACCTACAGTAAAAAATCAAAATTATCTTCACTCATTCGAAAATAGTTTTTATAACTCTCAGGATCTTCATCTGCTAATTCAGAGACTAACTTCATTGCACCTAAATGCCTTCTTGTTGACCATCCTCGAATCTACCAACTTTTTTCTTTCTTGATAGCCTTTTTTTAAGTTTATAGGTATATAAGCATTTCTTTAGCTACATAGAATATAGCAAAATATAGCTTTGATGCTGAAGGCGCCATGGTTACTGCGATACTGTGGATTTCCCGACACTAATTTTTTAACGAAATTACTTTCGCATATATCGAAACTACTTTCGTGAAACTGAGCTCAACATGCATGACACTAATTTCATAATGTAATCTCCGCATTACAGCTTTATCGGATGATGTTGAAACAGCACTGTCCCATAAACTTCTAATAAAGTTAAAAATGTATAAATTCACTATGATATGAATAAATCCATTTACCTCTAAACTGTATTAAATTTGAGGTCAATAAAAAAAACTTTCTTTAAATGAGTATGCATGTGTTGCCAGATTATAGCATAAACAAAAATTAAGTCGCGTTTTTTTTTTAATTCACCCATGATAACCGACCTTTCGCCGTTGACTTCGAGAACTGTTTATTACTTATTGTTTTTATTTTTTACTTTTCTAATCACAGCTATCGTTATACCAAACTAAAAGTACCAGGCGCACATAACCTTCAAGACGTCAGTCAATTCCTGAATCCGTCACTGACTTGTGGCTTTCCGATTATCGCGAGGAAATTCCTTTCGGACGTGTGCGCGTCTAGAACGCTCACACGAGCCGTTAGCGTGGTGCGCTGATCAGTAAATAACGTATTTCTGTATTATCTATTTTTTATTTTTATTGCGTAGATGGGTGCTCTGGGGAGTGCTCTGAGGAATTGTTCGAGATGATACCAACGTCTCGTTTTTACCATCGCACCGCCCGCCACCGGAGTAGAGTTCATCCATACTACCTGGAGCCACTGCGGTCATCCACAGTACGTTTCCAGAGATCTTTTATGCCACGTACCATCCGGCTATGGAATGAGCTCCCCTCCACGGTGTTTTCCGAGCGCTATGACATGTCCTTCTTCAAACGAGGCTTGTGGAGAGTATTAAGCGGTAGGCAGCGGCTTGGCTCTGCCCTTGGCATTGCTGAAGTCCATGGGCGACGGTAACCACTCACCATCAGGTGGGCCGTATGCTCGTCTGCCTACAAAGGCAATAAAAAAAAAAGGGTGGACGAGCTCACAGCCCACCTGGTGTTAAGTGGTTACTGGAGTCCATAGACATCTACAACATCTACAACGTAAATGCGCCACCCACAGCAGTTTAAAACTAGAGTTCGCGCGGAACTAGTTGGCCGCGCCTTAGGCTAACTGTCCACTGGAGCGGAGAAACGGAGAAATATTAACCAACTAGCTGTACCCGTCCGCTTCGCTGGGCATTTAAAATTGACATTATTATTTCTCACCCCCACAAAGATTCTCATAATTAACGCCCCATCAACTGGTATAGGGAGTCCAACACTCATATAAGTTAATCTATCCGTTAAGTACATGTATTTTCTACATGGATACCAAGTTTCAAGTCAATCGGATGCACGGTTCAGTAGTTATAACGGAACATCCGTAAAAACCACCGTAGATTTATATATTAGTATAGATAAAATATTTTAGTGACAGCCCTATCGCATTCAGCACTAAGTATGTAGTGTCGCGCGTGCTCACCGAGTCCTTGTCGATGACCGGCTTGTCGCCGACGCCCCACACCTCCAGGCTCCGGATCCTGAAGCTGGGCTCCCTGCTGAGCCGCTTGTACCCTCGGTACGTGCTGCACGACTCCGCCGAGGACCCTTCGCCGAAAGGATCCGCGTTCACCCATATCCCGCCGAAATTGAACTGGCCGCCCATCAGCTGCCCAAGAAATTAATTGACCATTTAAAAAAAATGGGGGGCGTGAGTGAAGTGAAACTTCTTTTTGGATGTGTATGTAGTATTGCGGTTTTCTTCATTTTTCATCATCCTTAAATTAGAGTGCTCTTGTAATAGGGAATGCTGTGTATAAGAGATGCGACATATTCAACATTTATCTTAATATATAGAAATCACGTGTCACGCTGTTTGGCCGCGATGGACTCCTAAACTACTTAACCGATTTTAAATTAAATTTGCACACCGTGTGCAGTTTGATCCAACTTGAAAGATAGGATGGTTTTTATTTCGATTAATGGTCGCAATATCTATTAATTAACAATAAAATGATTTCTTATGTTTATTTTTGTTATTAATTGTAAGTTTCATAAGTCTAAAACAGATGGCGCCTTAAATCAGTTTTTACAGACAATTGTAATACTGTCTGACCTTAATATCTCATGTGTCATGGTGTTAAAAATACCAATGTTTCTCACAAGCTACAATTTAATGGCATAAACACCACGTGTTGCTGAGGCTAAAGTATAAGTGAAACTTATTTCGTGGTAAACGCAATATGAAAGCAAAAAAAAACGCAAAATGCAAGTGAAATCCAATTGTTCTTACTTTATCAATTTTTGGTATTAGCATAGCCGGTCGCGTGCTATTTAGAAACAAAAACCTTAGCCACAGCAACGTGTGGCCGGGTCTGCTAGTATTATATATGTTTTAAATTATAGATAGAAAAATAAATAAATAAATGTCAAAGTTGTCATTAGTACAATCATCTGTCTTCGTTTTCGGAAGCGGTCTCCTAACACCCAGTATAGAGGCTTTCATAGGAAACGAATTCTGTAAATCCTCCACCTTGGTCCTAAGAGTTCCGGCGTCGAGATATCGACTTACCAATCCGTTCGGTAAAGTCTTCGTGTGATGGTTCATGTACTGGTAGTGGTCGTTGTACGTGGTCGCCGGGTAGACCCTCATCTTGGGCGCTACCGTGAACAGGAAGGAGTCCTCCGTGCCGCCGAAGTTGGGGCCCAGGGACCACGCCTCCGGGGCGAAGCCTCCGAAGATGTAGCCCGAGTTGTCTTCGATGATCAGAATCGACGGGCCCTGATCGATGATGCGGCCTGCACGAGGGTAGACAGACATTCGTTTTTCGTTTATATTTATTTATTTATAACTTTATATACTAGAAAGTATAAAGGCGGACTTAACGCCATAGGCATTCTCTAACATCCTACCTTAGGGGAGTGCAGAGATGAAGCTTGGTAGGTGTAGTGTGAAGGTCATATTACTTAAACATATGTGTTACTAGACTAATGTTTTCGAAATGGCTCAGGAAACCCGATAAATAAAAAAAAAAAAAAAAACAATATCTTTTTTTATGATTGAAGGATTACTGGTTCAAAGTACAATATATAGAGAAATAAATAGTAGTATCGTTGGCAACCCTGGACTGTCTAGATTTGATAAATGTAGCATTTTACTTAAGATGTACAAATTGTATTTCATTATTTATTGTAATAAAGATTATGATGGAAAATGTATACTTTTATTTTGGTACTAGCGACCCGCCCTCGCTTCGCTTCGGAAACTGTAATTTATTATTGATTTCTCCACTGTTTAATGGATGTTATTATACATATAAATCTTCCTCTTCAACCACTCTATCTATTAAAAAAAACGCATCAAAATCCGTTGCGTAGTTTTAAGGATTTAAGCATACATAGGGACAGACAGATATAGGGACAGAGAAAGCAACTTTGTTTTATACTATGTAGAGATATCAGAAAGAATGGAATACGTTGCATTTTCCTTGGAATAAAGAGTTGCTTGTGTCAGTCACTCCGTGTTCCGTGAACTGACAGTCGATTTGTAGATCTATTGATAAGTGTTACGAAGAACACACCGCCTGGGCTATGTCATTTGTGATGACAAAAGCACCCAATCAGTTAAATCCAAGCTATTTATTTTTTTCGAACTGCCTGACTCGGTAGTTTCTTTTTTTTATGTTTGAGAATTTACTGCTGGCCCGGAGGCCTTTCCAGTTTCACCAGGATAGTTGGGCGAGCAAAAACTCAGCCAGGAGAGGTGGGATGTGCTAACAGCTGCCCGAGCGTCTCCAAATGAGACCTAACAGTCCAAGAGCAGCTGCTCCGCGAATGAACCTACTACTGGATCGGAATCGCGACCCGCTGAGAAGATCCGGCGAGAAACTCAGCGAGCTGATTCATGGGTTAGGTTGCACGTCGACCTCTTTGTCGAGTTCGACGCGTACGGTTACCGGGGCCCATAAGCCTGCTCCTAGTGTTAGAGCTGAAGGCGTCTAATGCAAAGGTTATTGGATCTGATGTATCCGTAAGGATGTGTCTAGGGCATCGACGGTGACTGGCTCCTGCGTGATCAGGATTCGGGGAGCAGTCAGCGGCGGAAATAATAAGGCGATTATCATGACGCATAGCTTATCGAAGTACCGTTCCGACGCTGACTTCATGTATTTAAACAAATATCATAATATATTATTGTATTTAAATATTTGTGGCTTCTAATACTATTTACTGTTGGTAGGATCCCTTGTTAGTCGGCGTGGGTAGGTACCACCACCCTGCCTATATTTGCCGTGAAGCAGTAATGCGTCTCGGTTCGAAGGGTGGGGCAGCCGTTGTAACTAAACTGAGACCTTAGAACTTATATCTCAAGGCGGGTTACCGGAGCCCATAGACATCTACAACGTAAATGCCGCCACCCAACTTGAGATATAAGTTCTATGATCTCAGTATAGTTACAACGGCAAGTTATTTTAAAAAATCCATTTTTATTCGATAGTGACTATGCGGTTCATAAGAGTTTCCCTTGCCTGTGACCGATTCACTGACCTGCCATAGTCGAGAAGGACTCTCCGTGGATATGTGAGGAGAAAAGAAACCTCCACTTGTGCTGGTATTTCTGGGGTATATGGCTGTTCAGCCACACGATGTGTGATAAGTCGATGAAGGCTGGATAATCTGGCATCGACTCTAGACCTAGAACGGAAAGTCAAGAGAAATGTTACCTTAGAAAGATCTGATTTTGATTACTGGTGGCAGGACCTCTTGTGAGTCCGCGCGGGTAGGTACCACCGCCCTGCCTATTTTTGCCGTGAAGCAGTAGGGTTGAAGGGTGGGGCAGCCGTTGTAGTGACAAAGGCTGCTGTTTATACGGCATGATAGACGGGGCATCCCCTATTCGAGTACTATACAAAGGAGACTTTGATCTCATTTTTTTTATTGCTTAGAGCTTTTGCTTTTATTGCATGTCTCAAGGTGAGTGGTGGATATAATATCGTGATGTCCATGGACTCCTGTAAATCGGTGTCGCGGCGCCTGACTCGTTTAGCACAGCAAGCTAGCCAAAATGTCATACCAGAACATTTACTACTACCGGCACCGCGCACTGACAGCATTCAACGACATTCTTAAGACACAATAAATCATTACAATGACAATCAATGACGGCCGTCTGGTGTAGTGGTAAGTGACATGGTCACTACACAGGGGGGTCGCGGGTTCGAATCCCGCCAAGGGAAGATATTTGTATGATAAATATAAATGTCTTTTCCAGGGTTATGGATGTCTATTAAATATATGTATGTGTATAATAAAAATATTACATTTATTTCCGTTATCTGGTACCTGTAACACAAGTTCTTTACGAACTTACCACGGGAACTGTTAACGTGGCGTGATTGTTAGTAAATATTTATTTATATTTATTTATTTAATTTAATTTAATTATTAGAAAAGATCCTTCCTTTTCGAGAAAGGACACATTCATTACATTCATCGACGTGCAATCAGAACCAAAGCATTGTAAATTGTAATTAAAGCAAGTATCAAGAATTCAATTGGTTTTATTACAGAAGCAAAAAAAAGGCCACAGTGTCTCGCGTAGACAATCGGGATAGCCAAAAATTATCAGCAGTTCCGTCATATAGATTTTTTATGAACTTATTATAAAACTATTTATATTATATTAACTTATTATAAAAATATTTGAAGTCGTCGTGGCCTAAAAGATAAGACGTCCGGTGCATTCGTGTTGAAGCGATGCACCGGTGTTCGAATCCCGCAGGCGGGTACCAATTTTTCTAATGAATTAAGTACTCAACAAATGTTCACGATTGACTTCCACGGTGAAGGAATAACATCGTGTAATAAAAGTGAAACCCGCAAAATTATAGTTTGCGTAATTACTGGTGGTAGGACCTGTTGTAAGTCCGCGCGGGTAGGTACCACCGCCCTGCCTATTTCTGCCGTGAAGCAGTAATGCGTTTCGGTTCGAAGGGTGGGGTAGCCGTTGTAACTATACAGAGACCTTACAACTTATATCTCAAGGTGGGTGGCGCATTTACGTTGTAGATGTCTATGGGCTCCAGTAACCACTTAACATCAGGTGGGCTGTGAGCTCGTCCACCCATCTAAGCAATAAAAAAAAAAACTTTCTATGAAACTTTTGAGTATGAATATAAAAAACTTTCCAGCGATGTTTCATTCGTCACTCCCTTACCACTTCACAATCAACCTCAACAAAGAAAAGTTTTGCTGACAAATATCAAATTTTGGCGCGCTTTCTTCGTTCAATAAATAAACCTCTTAATTAAAAATTCAAAGTCTTTAGTAAAATGTATCTCGTTTGGAAATAAAACAAAATAGATATATGTAAAAAGTGAGTAAATGGGCTAATGTTAAACGGAAAGCTTAAGTTACCCAGATGGACGTTTATATCTCTGCCAAATAGATAGGCGATAAGTTTGGCATTGGCAATGGCGGCTTCGTACCTTCAGGCAGGGGTAGGAGCGATGGCAACGTCGGCATCGGGGTCGGACTCTCGTCGCCTTGCTTCTTGTTGATGCCGTAGAGATTGACGAAGACCAGCTCGGCCAACTGCTTCAGTAATGTATTCTGCTGTAACCTGAAAATCGGTGATGCGTCTACTCTGATCGTTTGTTGCAACACTGCTTCGTGGTTTTTAATTGCAAGCTTCATAGCCAAAATTTACTGGTGGTAGGACGTCTTGTGAATCCGCAAGGGGAGGTACCATTACCCTGCCTATTTTTGTCGTGAAGCAGTAATGCGTTTCGGTTTGAATGGAGGGGCAACCGTTGTAACTATACTTAACTATACTAACGACCTTACAACTCGTGTCTCAGGGTGGGTGGGCGGTATTTACGTTGTTGTATGGGCTCCGGTAACCATTTAACACCAGGCGGTCCGTGGTTCGATCAAATCCGCACCACACTAGAGATCCCATTCCACGAAGTCCTTCATACGGTCAATGATCGGAGGACTTTATCTATATATTAATACATGAAGCAAAAACTTTGTACCCCTTTTTACGAAAATTGCGCGGACGGAGGAGTATGAAATTTTCCACACTTATAGAGAATATAGAGAAGAAGTGCACAATGCTAATATATTTTTTAAATAATGCATAAAAGATACATTAAATCAATAAAGAAAACATTACACACACCTTATACCATGTATTTGACGCACACACGCATGCATACTATTTATTGTCAAACTTTTGTTCTTGACGTCTGTGGTCAAATTGAGAATAGATTAAATATTGTTTGTCTTTATTAATATTTTTTTATAGTGTAGCCTTGGCGAAATTTGTGATTATAGAAGTATAAAATACAACCATAATAGTGTACAAACTTACAATTCCAATTAATTATAGTCGAATTTCGACTACTGCGGGACCTCTAGTAGCTTCGATCAACAATAGTAAGTTAGTATTGTTGATCGAAGTCTAGTAGTCATTATAGTGTAATATACTTCTATAATCACAGATTTCGCTAAGATTACACTTTAGACAAATATTAATAAAGACAAACAATAATTAACCTATTCTCAATTTGACCACAGACTTTAAGCAATAAGAAAAGTTTGACAATAAACAATTAGTATGCATGAGTGTGTGTGTCAAATACATGGTAGTGTGTGTAATGTTGTTTTTAATAGATTTAATGTATTTTTATGCATAACTTAAAAAAATATTAACATTATGCACTTCTTCTCTATACTCTCTACAAGTGTGGGAAATTACATACTATTTCGTCCGCGAAATTTTCATAAAAAGGGGTACAAAGTTTTTGCTTCACGTATTAATATTATATAGATATATGTATATACAGTCAAAATCTGTTATAACGACATCGAAGGGACTGTTCATATTCAGTCGTAAAAACCGATAGTCGTAACAACCGGTGATGTTTAATGTGTATCGTGCAAGTACAAACAAATCGATAGGGAATTATTGGAAAAATATATTTACATAATACGCGACTTTTCTTCAATATTAATTTGTTTTCTTTTTCTTTGCGACATTTTGAAAGTTCACGAATAACTCCACAAAGTTTTGGTGCGTTTTGTGTATAGATAAGTAATAAACTAACTGAAGAGATATGAAGAAGCGGTCTTTGACTCTACTGCATGCGCGTGTTTTGTTTCTAAGAATTAGAAAAGACCCTACACTAGACTAAATCCTATTGTTTTCTTTCCTGATTTTAATAGCCATTGAAGACAAATGTGGATACCTATTCAAATTGTTTACAATACAGCTTAGCCGGTCGTTCTAACAGATCTAATTCTCCGAAATATTAGTTAAATGTGGTCGTTTTATGAGGTATGTCGTTATAAGCAATGTCGTATAAAGCAATGTTTTTAATAAGGCGGTCATATAGCATTCAGCCGGGACCTTTGTTCTAGGTTGTTATAGCCGGCATGTTGTTCTAAACGATGTCGCAGTAAACGGTTTTGACTGTATTTAAAACGTATTGAAGTATGTATCAGTCTCTGTTGCCCGTAACACAAGGGAATCCTAATTTCGGGACGGATGACCGTGTGTGATTTGTTCCCCGTTATTTATATATTTATTACAATGTAATTGCGTACAATGTGCGTTTATACACTTTGTATTTATCATTAATAATATTGTTTTGAAAGGGCGTTTATTAAGAGATCTGTTTAAACACCTTACTCCACGTTTTTATTTTTTATTGCTTATGTGTGTGGACTCACAGCCCACCTGGTGTTAAGTGGTTACTGGAGCCCATAGACATTTACAACGTAAATGCTCACCCACCTTGAGATATAAGTTCTAAGGTCTCATAGTATAGTTACAACGGCTGCCCCGCCCTTCAAACCGAAACGCATTACTGCTGCACGGCAGAAATAGGCGGGGCGGTGATACCTACTCGTGCGAACTCACATAAGATCCTACCTCCAGTAAAAACGTTCGTTCCAATATGGCATATGATACTCACCAACTAGACAACTGATTGGCCGTACAATGATGCTGTGCCGAATCCATGTCTCCTCCTATACTGGCGGCCACGGCCTCGCCCAGGGCCTGCACGTGGCACGCCCGACCCCTGAACCCTTTGCTGATCCAGGTCTGGGCGCGCTTCGACGACGAGGACTTGAGGATCTTGATGTAAGTCGAAGCTATGCTTTCGCAGTACTGTTACGGGTAAGGTCAGGTCTGGTTAATTTGGGTGTTTCGACTATTCTGATGCTTGTGTTTGAAGACTTATCTCGCCCAACGTGGACGTGGACTGGGGTTTTTTTTTCTTATATGGTTGGATGGTTACTGGAGCCCATAGACATCTACAACGTAAACGCGCCACCTACCTTGAGATATGAGTTCTAAGGTCTCAGTATAGTTACAACGGCTACCCCACCCTCCAAACCGAAACGCATTACTGCTTCACGGCAGAAATAGGCGGGGTGGTGGTACCTACCCGTGCGGACTCACAAATGGTCCTACCACCAGTAATTAGGCAAATTATAATTTTGCGGGTTTGATTTTTATTACACGATAGGATATTACAATATAATCATAGAGTTAAGTTAGAAAGAAGATGAATATACTGCTATAGCGGACGGATAATGCAGCAACAAACACAGCTGCTTGGTCATTGTTTTGGCTGTGGGTAGTCGGCCTAAAATAGCATCATCCTTTTTTTTATTGCCCTTGTAGGCAGACGAGCATACGGTCCACCTGATGGTGAGTGGTTACCGTCGCCCATGGACTTCAGCAATGTCAGCGGCAAAGCCAAGCCGCTGCCCACCGAAATGTCTGTCCTGTGTCGTGAAGCGAATATGGGATAAGAGGTAGGTTCCACCCGTTTGCGTATTAATACCGCGAAATATGTGTTGCCATTTGATATTCGATATGCAATACAATACAATACCGCCGAAGACAGGAAGACGTGGGGAACCACAGTACATCGAGTGGTCATAATTTCAAAATAGACACGACCTTCAGCAATGAAGAAGTCGACTCAGAAGAAGAAGAAGAATGCAATACAAGTGAGACTTCAATATGATCATGTCTTAATGTGGTTGGCGGCATGTTTTTTTTTATTTTTTATTGCCCGTGTAGGCAGACTAGCATACGGCCCACCTAATGGTGAGTGGCTACCGTCGCCCATGGCCATCAGCAATGTCAGGGGTATAGCTAAGCCGCTGCGTACTGTAAATGACCATGCCTATGGGCCCAAAGGAGGACCGCGCGATCGTTTGTTCATCAACGCAGTCCAGATTTAGCTTCAAGTGTGATACAGCTGTTACATAAAGGGACATTACTAGTTAACGTTCGTATGTGTTACTAGTTAATGCGTATAGTCAATATTGTTATAAACATTTTGAAATATAATATCAATTGCAATAATATACCTAGCGACCATACGGCCAACTGAATAAGACCTTTCGCGTTTCCATCCCAGATATCGCAACAAAACAAAAAGCCCACCTCTCGCAGAAGCTGATACGGCAATTCGATTTCTTCATTGTAGTCTTTCCCGAGACTGTTGTAGGTGACCATCATTCTTTCATCGACAGTGCCTGAAGAAATATAAAGTCAATTACTGGTATGGGAATAAAAAAAAACAATTAAATCGCACAGAAATCCTGCACACACGTTGTCTGCGCGAACTGGCCATAATTCCGGCTAATGTGGCCGCTACGCACTCTTCCACTTCCATTTGAAGCAGAATACAGCCTTTGCACACTACAATTGAGACACAGACCTCAGCTAGCGGCTAGGAGCGATCACGTGACACCTATAAGCTACAGCAAAGCAAAAATACCTTACATAATTAACGAGTTTCATTGCAAAAAGTCCTTTTGTATTATATCGTCTAACTTCTTTACTGATAGATCCGGACACACACGATCGATTCGCGGCGGAAAAGCGATACTGTACAGACTCTCCATTTGCCATACAACCAATAAAATATATTAAGCCGTTTCAATGTTAAATAAATAAATATGAAACCATTTTCTGTTTACAAGTGAAAGATATAAAAAAAATCGCGTTCCGTTTAACCGCCCAGAGAAGAGCCTCGTTCGCAGCGCGTCCGAAAAAACATAATAATATATAAGCATTAAATAAATATTAGAACGAATTGAATATATAATAATGTATTTTGGCTTCGACAGTCAGACAGATAAATGTATGTTAAAACGTTTAGAGAGACCGAGTGGGCGCGGATGCGAAATGAAAAATTATCATCTCATTTCGATAAGATAAAACGTATGGAGTTCGCGATAGAAAAGCGGAGAGAAGTCTGGTATTCGAGATTCTTTAGAGTCCATTCTTCTCGAAACCCTGTTCTCTGACATCTAAATCGGCTGGTTTGTTCACAGCTGTATATATACTGAGGGATTCAAATCCCGAAGGCATGTGGCCACAAAACGAAATTCCGCATAATAAAGCCTAGTTACTGGGATATAACCAACCAATTTCTGGCCGGATTTTCTGTGGGTCGCGATTCTGATCCGGTGGTAGATTCAGCGGAGCATTGCTCTACCTAGGGCTAGTGTTAGAAAGTCCTTCCAGGTTGAGTTCTGTAAGCTCTGCTATTAATTGACACTTAGTTGGAATAGCGCCTACCGAGGGCTATATACGGGAAAAAAGCTAGATGGGTATATAAAACCCGCTCTAATAGGTCTAACCGATTTGTCCAATACAATCGTGTGTTCCGGCTTCGAAGGATAAGACTGTGCCTTGGAAGAGACTAATAATAATTTACTCTTAATGCATTAGAAGCTTGGGTAGATGGCGAACTAATCACTCAACAAGAGTAATAAAAATTGAGACGGTATAGTGAAGGAAAACTAGCAAAATGTCACATCCATCTACAACGGCTTGTCTACTCTGATTGGTGCTTTTTTTATTTTTTCCTACCTAAGCTGATAGCCTTGAGAGGCTATATCAGCGTCGCCTTAACTAGTAGGTGGGCTCACGGGACTCAAACCTGATGACGTTGCTAACACGAACCCTAGCAACAGCCGTGCTTCGCAGAATCGAACCGGATCGGAAACACGACCCACTGAGAAGATCCGACGAAAAACTCAGTGGGCTGTGTCTGAGGGTTAATTACTCGTCGAGCCCTTCGTCGCAAGCGACGGGTTCGACGACAACGATGACCGGGGACTGGTGCAAGTGGATATGTAATGTGGATAAGATAAACCACTATTCGTTCCATTAATATTGTGGCAAACTAAACATAGTTTATTCTCAACTAAACCAAAGATTTATTATAGCAGCGTGCTTTAGTTTGTACGTTAAAATATATTTTAAAGTCAGTTGTCGATTGTAAGGACCTTTTGCATGAAACGAAATGACGACCACTAACAATGAAATGTTTTAGGGAAACAAGATTCAGTGAAACCGCGTGATTTAACCATAAAAGCTATCTTATTTATGTCTGCGTTTTTTTTTATTGCCCATTTAGGCAGACGAGCATACGGCCCACCTGATGGTGAGTGGTTACCGTCGCCCATGGATTCAGCAATGCCAGGGGCAGAGCCAAGCCGCTGCCTACCGCTTAATACTCTCCACAAGCCTCGTTTGAAGAAGGACTGCGTCTCGCGAAAACCGATGAAAACACTATAGCAAATTAATCATTGCTTATAGATCATGCCTTACTTTCTAAATTAGACTATAAAGCATTGCCAAGTCGATTAAAATCGTAACTAAAAGCTGTGCGATTCAGTAACCTTAAAGACCTTGGATGACCGTAGTGGGTCCTCTTGTGAGCTCACACAGATAGATACCACCACCCTGTCTTGAAACAGAAGGCGTTCTGGTGTGAAGGATGGAACAGCCATAATACTATAGAGCAGAGACTTAGAACTCATGTCATCTTTTTTTTAATGATTAGGGGCACCGGAATAACCACATAACACCAGGTAGGCCAAGGGGTCGCACTTCCGTCGCTGCATCCATTGGAACACGATGTGTTTCAAAAGCTTCTCAAGCACCTACTCCAAGAGTCGTGTCGTACATGGCCAAATGTGTCGACATCTTATTCCAAAATAAAAAACCTATATGTGTTCCTAAACGCCGACTATGCAACTTGTGATACTTATTGTTAGCGTTCCAGGGAAAATTTCTCTCATAGCACCATCAACGTGCGACAGATATTGGGTGAGCAGGTCGTTTAAAAAAAATCGATGCTTTTCATGCAATTAAAAATCGAGTTCCACTAAATGTCACCTTTTTTTACTGTCCGTGTATGCAGACGAGCATACGGCCCACTCACCTTTAGGTGGTTACCATCGTCCATGGACGTCAGCAATGCCAAGAGCAGAGCCAAGCCGTTTAATACTCTCCACAAGCCTCATTTGAAGAAAAACATATTATTATTGTCATAAAGACTTTTGCTTTATAAAGCACAAGTCCAGGCCTCGCGCGGAGTACTGCTACCATCTCTGGGCCGGGGCTCCCAAATACCAGCTTCTTCCATTTGACTCCATACAGAAGAGGGCCGTTCGGATTGTCGATAATCCCATTCTCACGGATCGTTTGGAACCTCTGGGTCTGTGGAGGAACTTCGGTTCCCTCTGTATTTTGTACCGTATGTTCCATGGAGAGTTGGATTCCTCTGAGGAATTGTTTGAGATGATTCCCTCATCTCCTTTTTATCATCACACCTCCCGCCATCGGAGCCGAGTTCATCCATATTATTTGGAACCGCTGCGTTCATCGACCGTGCGTTTCCAGTTCTTTTTTGCCACGTACCATCCGGCTATGGAATGAGCTCCCCTCCACGGTGTTTCCCGAGCGCTATGACATGTCCTTCTTCAAACGAGGGTTGTGGAGAGTATTAAGCGGTAGGCAGCGGCTTGGCTCTGCTTCTGACATTGCTGAAGTCCATGGGCGACGGTAACTACTCCCCATCAGGTGGACCGTGTGCTCGTCGGCCTACAAGGGCAATAAAAATAAAATAAAAGACATTATAACATTATAAAGCTCACCTCTAACATTATAAACGTACAGCTCAGCGAAACGATTGAAGTCGACCGAGGGCGACTTCTCTTGTCCGGAACCGAAAAGGAAATTCGTTAAGTACTGCGCCAGCCGGGGATCGATTTGAGGTCCCCAAAATTTCTGTGAAACCATAATAGGAGCTGTTACATAGACTCAATGACATCTTACTGGTGGTAGGGACCTCTTGTGAGTCCGCGCGGGTAGGTATTACCATCCTGCCTATTTCTGCCGTGAAGCAGTAATGCGTTTCGGTTTGAAGGGTGAGGCGGCCGTTGTAACTATATGAGACCTTGGAAGTTAAGTCTCGGGGTGGGTGGCGCATTTGCGTTGTAGATGTCTATGGGCACCAGTAGCCACTTAACACCAAGTCGGCTGTCCACCCATCTAAGAAATAAAGAAAAAACACGTACATTATTTTATTATGCGCTTTCTTAATACATAACGATGTAAATAAATTATTTTCTCGGTTTTTTTTATTATTACACTAGACGGGTAGATGTGAAAGTCGAGGTATCAATTCTATTATATACAACGGCAATACCAAACTCCGAACCGCCGCATATATGTTTTGCTGCAGACATAGGCAATAGAAAACTGACCTAAAATAATATTAAAGAAAAAAATTTTTTCGTCCCTCTTATAGATTCCTTGACCTAATTATCCTATAATTTGGTCCTAATTACATGTACACAGAATTGGATTCATGATTTTAGTTTTATTCGTTTGATATTAAGCCTCAAATTTTACAAGCTTTACAAGAAACAGTTTTGCTTTGTTGAAATCTATACTTAATATAATATTATAAAGAGGAAAGATTTGTTTGTTTGTTTGTTTCGAATAGGCTCCGAAACTACTGGACCGATTTGAAAAATTATTTTTCCATTAGAAACCGACATTGTCCCTGATGAACATAGGCTACTTTTTTTAATTTTTTTTTTGTTTCATGTGTGTTTTAATGTTTCCGAAGCGAAGCGAGGGCGGGTCGCTAGTTTCAATAATAAAAGTGAAAATGTTGTAAACGAAATTGATCTAAGCTTTGATGTGCTTATGGTCCAAATTCGATCGTTGCCGCGTTGGACGTGCATTAGTGCATTACACTGTACTAGAAATAAACATTTAACCGATCGTGTTTGGGAACCAACAGCACAAACAGCGGAAACAGATCCGATATTTTAATCTATTTAATTCATCATCTAAAGTTCATCAATCACGGTGCTATTGGGGAGTCTTGGCACGCACCATCCATCTCCAGAATGAACCGCCATCGACGGTGTCTTTCGACTGTGATGCGTGTGGAGGACACGTGAGATTTAGGGGCAGTTTTTTTGCGCCCTTACTGATATGTCCATGGGCAAACGATAACCGTTTCCTATTAGTCGAGCGGTACGCGCCATCTGTCCGCGAAGGTAAAAAAAGTCCAAACCTGGCCACAATACCTTTAGCAGCATACCTCTCAGTACTCCTACCCTATCTAAACAAATGACCAGACAATCACGGATTATGAATATACCAAGCGTCACACCGGGGAAGCTATGGGCATTTCATAATAATGAACTTCGAAAACTGCGACCAAGTTTCAAAACAAAAACCCCTCAAATAGGCCTTTTACGGACGTCATGGCTTCACCAGGAAATCGCAGTGCGGTTTTACACATGCGTAGGAATCAAAGGAAGCTCATGTCTTTCGAAATAAACCAACCAATATTATACCAACATCACACACAATACAGAGTACATAAAACAATATATATATATATATATATATATATATATATATATATATATATATACCCAAAGACCAAACTATTTTCTCGCATGCTCAATAGTTTCCTCGTATTATTCCAAAGTTGCACTCGTGGACTTAGCACCGCTGTTTACGTGCGGCGAGGCACGAACTCGCATTGAACATTTCCTGTATGCGATCTTGGGTTATTGTTTTTGGAATGAAAACTAATATATTAAATATACACGAGTGTATGTTTGTTGGTGATCGGTCCTTAGGCATGCCATCGACTTGAAATTTCGCGTCGCCAATCGGGAGGTAATCTTGTCGTGATAGCGTAAAAGTGGCGAGCGCCTAGTACACATAATTTTACTTTTATTCCCTGGCGTAATTAACGCCATTTTCCTCACAACAGTTTAGTCCTTTGTCAGACCTCATACGATACTGATACGCGACCGAGGCCATATGACCTGCCTCTATTTTCCTGTCGCCTATCCGTTAACCGTATTACTCACATCATAGCCGAAGAAATCAGTGTGCTTAGTGCGAGTTTCTTAACGTTCTCGATAGCGTAAAAGTTAACTCCAATTTGTATGGAGTTGGAACGTTTGCCTACGTTTGCCGCTAGGGGCCCTGTTCCAACTGCATACAAATTTGAATTAAATTTTCCACTATCGAGAACATAAGATACCGTAAGAACACTAGAAACAACACCATGTTTTAACCTAAAAAATCAGTTTTTCTGCCGACCCAAAACGCTAATTTTGTAGTGTCTCTACGAAATGCATTCACATGCTCAATTTTTCAAACCACCACCTTTTTTAAAATATAATTAATGTTGGTAGGACGTCTTTTGAGTCCGCACGGGTTGATATCACCGCCCTGCCTATTTCCGCCGTGAAGCAGTAATGTGTTTCGGTTTGAATGGTGGGGCAGCCGTTGTACTGTAAAACTTGCACTAAGCACACAGTTTCTATAAAGTTGAAGTACCAGAGCAGCATGCTTTTAGTGCAGGAGAGTTACGTTCCTGCCAGTTATGCCAAGAAGTAGTACTTGCATTCCAGTTTGAAGAGCGTAATATATTGCGACCTTAATCTCATATTTTAGAAGATCACTACAAAAAATGTATACGAGGACCAACTACAAATATACGTTGAAGAAAAAAACATATTCATCCATAAAAAAAATAACAACAAAGTCAGAGCTTTCATGTCAAGCTTTATGTGAATTTAATGGCGAGATAAAAATTATATGACGATTTTAATTAATAGCCGCCGAATGCACTGGAATGTTATTTGACAAGGTTTTCATATTTTGCACTCTGTGTTATTTACCGAGGGTATCTTTTGTGCAAACCCTCCTGCACTGGAGCACTCTCTGTAATACCTTCTCCGTGGATTATTCTAGAACACTGAACCTCTACGAGTCCCTTAAATGACGGAGCTAATAACTCTGAAGCTAATTCACCAGGGGAACTTGTATCAAGGAATTCGACGATACTAGTGTTCAAATTTTCAGGACTAGACGGTTCAGATAGCACCGCGAAGGAATAACATGGTATTTAGAAACGAAAATCGCAAAAAGTTATAAATTTACGTAATTAATGGTATGGTATTACACACCCGTAATTATAGTTACCACCACCCCGACAGTTTCTGCCGTGTTCCGGTTCAAAGGGTAGGGCAGCTGTGAAAGATCGAAACTGTGACTTATCACTCATGTCTCAAGGTTGATTAAATATCCATTTGATCACAAGGGAGCAGACCTTCCCTGGGTTTTTTTTTATTGCTTAGATGGGTGGACGTGCTCACAGCCCACCTGGTGTTAAGTGGTTACTGGAGCCCATAGACATCCACAACGTAAATGCGCCACCCACCTTGAGATATAAGTTCTAAGGTCTCAAGTGTAGTTACAACGGCTGCCCCACCCTTCAAACCGAAACGCATTACTGCTTCACGGTAGAAATAGGCAGGGTGGTGGTACCCACCCGCCCGGACTCACAAGAGGTCCTACCACCAGTAATTACGCAAATTATAATTTTGCGGGTTTCATTTTTATTACACGATGTTATTCCTTCACCGTGGAAGTCAATCGTGAACATTTGTCGAGTACGTATTTACTCGGTTAACAATTACTCATATTAGGTACCCCGTGTTATAAATACAACCCCAAAATCAATGCTCAATCCACCCTCAGACACAGCCTACTGAGTTTCTCGCCGGATCTTCTCAGTGGGTCGCGTTTCCGATCCGGCGGTAGATTCTGCGAAGCACGGCTCTTGCTAGGGTTCGTTTTAGCAACGTCGTCAGGTTTGTGCCCCGTGGCACACCCAGGAAAAAAAGAAAACTCAATCCTCGCCCTCACCCAAAAAAACTACACATAATCCTCATCATAAAGACCTTTGAGGACCTTTCGATTCTTTGCCTCATTAAGGCATCTGTACTGTATGTTTCTTATATGAGTCGTCTATTATCAAAGGTGGCAATCTGTGCATTTGGACAAAAAAAATTTATTGATATTTCAATACAGATTGATTTGAATATATTCGTCTCCTTCAAAGAATACGGTTCAAAACCTGCATTAAATAAAGGTTAATACTTAACCTGTTATTTATCTAAGATGTCGTTCCGAACAGTTTTGTGACTGCCAATGGAATACAAAGTCAATAATTCGTTTTTCTGATTTACCAATAATTATCCAAAAGTCACATTGCCGGCTTTGATAATAGTCGACTCATATACTCCGCATTCTCTGACGTCAGAGTCCGTCACGTGTCCATCTTCGATCAGTTTAATGGATTTCCGGAGCACATGTAACAACGTAGATTGATCATAAACCTATCGTCCATATCACTATAATTTCACGTTAAAATTTTCATACAATATTTACGTTCGGCGCATGGTTTTCTTCAATCCCGCCTCTGGCCGTGGATAAGCAGGCATTGTTACGTTTCGGGGCCACGAAAAACGTTTCTATCATGAGCTGAATCGTACTGATATCACTTTATTTCAAACTAGCGGCTCGCTCCGGCTCCGCTCGGGACTTTAACAAACATTTCAACGATATTTAACGTTGTTTTATTTTTTTAAACAAAAAGAACACTTATTGTGGCATAACTATAATATGTAGTTAGATATATGCTGTTGTGACACTTTTTGTTAATAATAATGTGTTCTACAAAGTCGTAGTACATTATTTTATTCTAACATCAATAGTTTTCGCAGGGCACGCGATGTAAATAATATTTTAGGTAATTTTTTTACACATTGGGTTACATTATTGGAGTTTTAGTAAGGATCCCTAATTTTTTTTCAAAAAAGATTTTAGCTTATGTCACTCGGGAAGCTCAGGTAGCTTCCAAACAGTGAAAGAATTTTTCAAATCGGTTGAGTAGTTTC